TTATTATTATTATTATTATTATTATTATTATTATTATTATTATTATTATGCGTGTAACAGCGTTCGCAAAGTATCCGGTCATAGCACTTTTTACGATTTCGTATGTAATATTGGGACTGAGCTACGGCATTACTCGGCTTTCCGTAACAAGCGATCCGATTGAAATTTGGGCGGCGCCCACCAGCAGATCAAGAATCGAGAAAGATTATTTCGATTCACATTTTCAACCTTTCTACAGAACGGAACAGATTTATATAAAATCGGTGGGACTCGATAAGGTAAACTTGCTTTCACGACAAACTCGTGTCACGTATCATACGCGCCATACGTGCTCAACTAATTCCAAGTATGTCGCGTCGAAACGAGCTACGAGATATATCTCTGCCGTATACACCATATTACCGCGACTTTTTAACTCTCTACTAGTAGCTTTCAAGATTTTCGTTATCCGCGCTTCATCAAAAATAAAAGAGATACACAGTCATGTACCGATTCTACATAGGTGCTGCACAACACATCGAACGGGCCTCTTGAATTTGGTCCCGTCTTTGCTAAGGAATTTCTACTCGCTGTATACGATCTTCAAAATAAAATTCTCCAAGTAAGTATTTCTATTTGTCGTAAGGGATTGTTAGTAAACTAAAGAAAAGAAAAAAGAAAAGCGAACGTAATGGAAATGTACAGCTTGGACAAGACGTTGGAGAAGGATTGGAACGCATTTGCTATGCTCCAGTTCGGAGTGATTTTACAGGGCCCACTACTTTGAATCTTTGCACCGTTCAAAGCGTTTGGGGATATTTTCAAAACGATTTCGAAACTTTTAATCGAACGACTGTTTCCGGTTCGTACCAAAGAAATTATTTGGATCATTTGTACGAGTGCGCGCAGTGAGTAAAAATGCTAGTCGTATGTATAGTAAACATAGAGAATATGTAGTTTGTATTATATGGTAGTTGTATAGTACGTAACGTGCATAAAGAAAGCAGAACGCAACATAAAAGGAATCGATAGGCCAGGTGTCTGGGTTAATAGTATGTATAATGAAACGAAACAAAACGTTTTATCCTTATTCCGAAGAAACGCGTACAATCCTTCCTGCATGGCACCGTACAAAGGACCAGTCGTGCCTGCGATAGCCTACGGAGGATTTCTTCGAGACAACAAGTTTCTTTACGATTCGAAAGATTACATAACGGCAACCGGATTGGTTTTAACATTTCTCGTAAAAAACTCGTTAAACGAATCTGCACTCGAATCGACACACAAATGGGAACAGCGGTAAGATCCAAACATACCAACACCATAGTTACGCGACCAGAAAACGAGACAAGGAGTTTATAGAAAGTGTATGTACTGTACTATACATACATACATACATGTATATACCGTGGACGTTTTAGGTTTCTCGATTTCATGAAAGAATGGGACGTTATCGATCGTCCGAAATTTATGGATGTCGCGTATAGTAGCGAAAAATCGATTCAGGACGAATTGGAGAGATCGTCGAGAGCAGAAGTATCGACAGCAGTTTTCAGCTACGCGTTAATGTTTGTTTACGTTACCGTTGCTCTCGGTAAAATAAGCTGTAGCTTCAAAGGATACTTTGTAAGTTTCTTCTCCTCGTTTCTTAACCAACTGTTTCATGCAAAATACATGAAATGTTCTTTCGAAACCGACTATTTCTCGTATGATTTTAGACAAACAGTAAAATGATGCTCAGTATTGGCGGAATAATCATAGTAATGGCGTCCGTAGCTTGTTCCCTCGGTGTATTTGGCTACATCGGAGTACCCACGACGTTACTTACCATCGAGGTGAGCGAAATACTGCATAATAATAAATGTCCAAAGTACATAGAAACATAGAAATGATGGATAAATGTATAAATTATTCGTATCCACACAGGTAATTCCATTTTTGGTACTAGCCGTGGGCGTGGATAATATATTTATATTGGTCCAAAGGCACGAGAGAAATCCAAAACGTTTCGAAGAATCGATACCCGATCATATCGGACGAATTATGGTCGAAGTTGGTCCATCGATTTTGCTTACCAGTACTTCCGAGTGTCTCTGTTTCTTGATCGGTTAGTACTTGTTATACATTACGTTGTACTAAATTGTGTACGTATAGGGCATATGGTATATCTACACGGCTAGAAGCTCGAGAACAAAGGAGAACAAAGGAGAACAACGTCGAACTTACGTTCGACAACACGATTCCAAATACGATATTTCCGCGGAATTACGCCGATAAATAATTGGCCCGCTCGGAGCTGTATTTATTTATTTAAGCTTTGCGTACGATCGAAACGTGTTACTTTGCGGTCGCAAGATGCCTCAACGATTCAACGATTCAACGATTCATATCCTTATCGAATAAAAAGTTTTTATTCGTTCCATTCGTTTCATTCGTTTTTACATTATTAACAAATACAAACTATCGTTACAGGAACACTGTCTACGATGCCGGCTGTAAATACTTTTGCGCTTTACGCGTTTTTTTCCATCCTAATTAATTTTTTCTTACAAATAACAGCTTTTGTCAGCCTTTTGTCATTAGACGCTCAAAGATCCGAGGTAAGAAACATTACGTATGTATTTACTATACAATAAGGGAATATAGCATGGATAGCGTAACGATGGTTGACGATATTTCAGAATAATTTATTGGATGTGTTTTGTTGCGTGAAAACGAAGGAAAAGCAGTTGGAAACCGATCGGAATCACAGTTTAATACAAACGATATTTAAACGTTTTTATACGCCTTACCTTATGAAGACACCGATCAGAATAATCGTAATAATCGTATTCTCCGTGGTCTTAGTCGTACACGCCGTAACGATACCAAATATAAGTATCGGTTTGGAACAACAGTTGTCGATGCCCACGGATTCTTACGTGTTGAAATATTTCCAAGTAACGTATCCATTCATCTCGATAATGATAATAGCGATTACGGCAATCGTATACCTAACTTAATCAATCTGGATATTTTCAGTTTATGGAGGATCTATTGTCGATGGGTCCCCCTGTTTACTTTGTTCTAACTCCCGGGCTGAATTATAGCAAAAACAAGGTTCAAAATATAATTTGCGGCGGTCAAGAATGTAATACCGATTCTCTTTACACGCAAATCTACTCTGCATCGAAACAACCTGACGTGTTCGTATACATAAATATATCGCATGTCTTTTTTAGAATCTGCTTTTACCTGTAACGTATAGGCAAAAGTACGTTTATTTAATCGCAACCAAGCCAGGTTAAATTACTCATCGAAACCGTTTATTTGTAGTTCGTATTTATCGAAAGCAGCTTCCTCCTGGATAGACGATTACATAGACTGGTCAACGATTCCCCAATGTTGCATGTATTTTCCGAGCAATCAATCCTTTTGTCCTCATTGGAATGGTAATTGGCAATGTTATTGAAATATTCCTCGCTATAAACATACATACATACATACATACATACATACATCTGTGTTTTGTAGTTGACACGTGTAAAGAGTGCGACATTCGAAAAACCGACTCTCGACCAGACGCAAACAGTTTTCGAAAATACATACCGTATTTTCTGGAAGACATACCGGATGAAAATTGCGCGAAATCTGGTCGGCCATCGTATCTCGATGTAAGTATCTTTCTCTTCTTACCATAGCGTGTACTTGGACATGTACATAGATTCGCGTCTCGATTATATTACGCGAATCCAACGTTATTTGACATTTTTCAGGGAATTAATTACTACGTTGATAAATATGGACTGACCGATGTTGGCGACAGTTACTTTATGGGTTATCATACTCCGTTAAAGAAATCGTCGGATTGGTACGAATCCCTAAAGTCCGTGAGAACGATAGCGGAAAACATCACAACGATGATAAATGACAAAAATTTAACCGATCAGAAGATAACTGTATTTCCATACAGGTTCGTTAGATACATCCCTACTAGCCCGTTACTCTTAAACAATCTCTACTCGTACGCATTCGTAATACTACAAGGGGAAATTATTTCAGCGTATTCTACGTCTATTACGAACAATATCTCACAATCTGGCAAGAAACTTTATCATCGTTGGGCTTCTCTCTCCTCGTCATTTTTATCGTGACAGCGTTTCTCACTGGACTCTCGTTATTCTCGGCAGTAATGGTGGTACTGACGGTACTCATGATCATCGTAAACATAGGAGGACTTATGTATTGGTGGAATATCCAATTGAACGCGGTATCTCTCGTCAATTTGGTAATGGTACGTCTCGCAATAAGATGCTCGTACCTCTTCCACTCGCGGTCGAAACAAACGAAACTTTGAATCAACTCTATCAATTAATTCGCAAGCGTACAACATTTCTTTTTACAGGCCGCTGGTATTTCCGTAGAATTTTGCAGTCATATTATACATTCGTATTTACATTCCACGGCAAGTACGAAAATCGATCGAGCCTCGGAGACTCTTAACGAAATGGGAAGTTCCGTAAGTATAGAGAGTACTCGTACTTGCGTTCCTCGAATTCATACGGTCGAGTAACGTATACATGTAATATGTAACACGTATTACGGACTTTGTTCTCTTCTTTTTTACAACCGAGAGAAAACAAAAAAACCCGCAATTAGGGTTAGCTCATTGTCAGAACTAACCCAGACCTAATAATGATAATGATAACGATAACGATAACGATAACGATAACGATAACGATAACGATAACCATAACAATAACCATAACCATAACCATAACCCTCTCGTCTCCCCCGCTGTCCTTTCCAACGAAATTTTTGATATAACCAGCCTGCCTTTACGTTGCAGGTTTTCTCTGGAATTACTTTAACCAAGATCGTAGGAATTATAGTATTGGCATTTGCCAAAACTCAAATCTTTGAAATATTTTACTTTAGAATGTATTTGGCTATCGTGGTGTTTGGCGCCACGCATGGTCTTATATTTTTGCCCGTATTACTGAGTTTCATAGGTAGGCAGAACTTTTAATTACGTACATTGCGTTCGATGCAAGAAAGGATTTAAACGATTTAATATCATCCCAGGTCCCAAAGGACATACAAGACGTAAATAACAAAAGTTGAGAACTACGAATAATTTTTGTCTAACAATTTACCATTTACCATTTACCATTTACCATTTACCATTTCGCTTGGAAGATGAAATTACGATTGGTTAATATCTACTATACTTTGGTATCGTATGTCGTAGGTATACATATGTATATGTACAAGTAAAACAACCGACACCGATGTAATATAAAGCATTCGCAACAAATATACATACATATATTCCTAAAAATTTCTCTGAAAAATATGTCTTTCATTTGATAAATGTAACGCATAAATTATTTACCAACAACTCTGTCATATCCGTGAATAATCTTATTTACGATGTTAATCGAGTAAAAGCTACGAAATACATATACATAGTAATTTGATGCGAGAAATTAACGATAACTTGGTTTGCGTTTGAATTTCGCTCTTAATTAAACTGTATCGATATCAATGTTCAATGCGCGATAAGTAGTGTCGCTGTCGCTGGTCGCAGCTACTTACTTGACGGCCATGTTTCTTAGCGACGCATGCCCACTGAAAATTGGAACCCGAAGCGAAGAATGCCAGATTCAGAGCAGGACCAGTTCGCCTTTGCAACAGTAGTATTCATTAGTATTGAATAGTATGCGTACGTGTGCGTCTGTTGGATACATGTTGGCTGTGTCCAGTGTTCCGTGTCTGCCTCTAGAGGTGTGTTGTGCTTTCTGCTATCGTGCTTGTAAATTGTGACGACGCCACGGAATATTCGTGATTCGGATTTCCAAGTTCGGTGCAGGTGTTATTAATCGGAGCGAATCAGAAACAGCTGATTTCATAATATCGTTAAACGTATTACGTTTCCGTTGTTAAGTTGACAAAATTGATTGCGAAAGAACATTAAGAATACCGCAAGGTTGTTTTTCTATCGATTTAATCTATAGAAATTCCACTTTATCTCATCATACATGGTAAAGCGTCCAAGAACAATGTACACGTGAAGCGTTCATCTATGTATGTTGGATGTTGGGTGTACAACGTGTCGAGATTAAATATACAAGTAAAAATTCCTACAAAGAAATCAAACTTATTCGAGTCTCGTTTATTCGATTATATTAAGCGGTTATGGTATTTCTTTCGGATGTATGGGGCATGGGAGAGAGTAAGTCACAGTGCCACGATACGAACAATTCTTCCTCGTTTCTGCAACAGAATGACGAAGAAGTCGCTTTGTTGCCTTTCAAGAATCAGGTGAGATGCTAGCATATTTCCTTACGTCATTTTCGGTTAACCAACTCGCGTATAAATACCTCGTTATTATCGTTACCATCTGTGCGTATCGCTCATTTTTAAAGCTACGATATTTACCGTTTACTCGTTTCACTCAACTTTTTTCTTTTTATATCATGTTATATAGGTCGGCGGACATACAAGGTTGCTTTTACTAAATCAGAATACAATTTGCAAACCGTTAAACTGCAGGGAACTCGACTTTTATCAAAACATTCCGCAGGATATACAAATCTTTGTTCCAAAATTCAAAGGTAAGCTACTTTTTCTTTCTCTCTGTTTCTAATACCAATCGTTTCATCTTTGTTTCACTTTTTAAGGGGTCATGCAAGCTTCGAATAGCGGCGAAGTTACATTGGATAAACGTTATAGCCCTAGCTTCAGAGAACAAGACAATAGACAGGGACACGGTTCAGCTAAAAGAAAGCAGGACGACGTACTTAGGTAAATTTCTATGCGATACATGGGACGACGAGACCTACGATCGATCGTCATGGAAGGACCATGTATCTACGGTCAAGTGACTCGATAATTTGTAACGCAAAGTCTTTTTTCATTTCTTTAGGATGAAAATTCATCGCGAGAATACTTTGACCGGAATACCAAAGTCAGGAATTCATTTGGATAGCACACCAAACAGACAGTGTACGTATAACGAATGTCGTAACGGTAGAGTTGCAAGTATATTCGAAACAGTTGGAAAGCGAAAGTAGCGAAAATTATGTAGATAACCGAAATAGTTGAGTCGCGAGAAACTTTGAAAACAAAGGATGTAAGTAGTTTTATTATTTTATTATACAAATAGATTTTCTTTTATTGGAGAATCTCACATCACGATACACTCATCCGTGTATATTGGATTTGAAAATGGGGACCAGACAGCACGGTGACGATGCATCTGCAGAGAAACGTAGCACCCAGATTGCAAAGTGTGCTGCCAGTACATCTGCCTCTTTAGGTGTCCGATTATGTGGAATGCAGGTTTGCCATATTGTTGTGTTACGTAAGAATTTTCAGCATATCGCACAGTAACTGCATTCGCGTACAGTTGTTATCCTCGTTGCGACGCGTACATTTTGTTCTTTTTAACCGACTTTGAAAAGGAGGAGGTTACTCAATTCGACATGTATATTTTTTTTCTTGTTTTCCTTCTAAATTTGTTCAAGAAAAAAGTGTCAAGAAAAATAAACACATCCGCTTTGCACCACCATCTTTGTACCGCTCGTTCGTATCTGCTTTGTGTCGATAACGCAGAACTTTATGTCGATAAACAATTTTGCAGGTTTATCAAGCCGACACCAATCATTACGTTAAAAGAGACAAATACTGGGGCAGGGAATTGAATGAAGAAGGTTTCAAAGCTGCGTTATATCGGTTTTTTCACAATGGCTTTTGTTTACGGAAATTGGTTATCGAAAAAGTGGTACCCCAATTAGAACAACTACGACGAGCCGTTGAACGACAAAGTAGCTATCGATTTTATTCGTGGTAAGTTTGTTTGAATAAATAGTTTGAACTATTTTACCGCGACGCTCTATACGCGATATATGTATCGTTATTAATCGTAGTAAACATGTTTCAGTTCGCTATTGGTTGTTTACGAAGGACACGAAGCGGACAATTTTTCGGGACTCGGTCACACACCATCCGCCGTCTTACAAGCGGAAGAAGAATCAACGAATTCTAGTTTCGTCGACGACGTAATTCATAGTTCGGAAGCATGCTACGATGGTGACTCGAGTAACTGTTCGACGGAATACAATCTTTCGATTCAAGAGGAAATCAGTCAAGCAGCTTTGCATAGAGGATTTGGCGAAGCAGCAGCGAGAGGGGCAAAAAGTACCGCCACTTTTTATTCTCCAAGGTTTGTGAATAACTTTTTCTTTGTTTTTCTTTTTTTTCTTTCTTTCCTTTATCGGCCGATGAACACTTTCATCAAGAATTGTTGACAAACAGTTAAATATTTCGTTAAATATCCTATTTCAAATTTTTTACCAACTTTGTAGAATTTCAATTTCTAGCGGTTACACGTATACATACGAGTAAATGAAGTTTCACGGAATTTGATTATTTCGAGCTTCGTTGCACTTTAACATATCTAGATAACGTATCGGAACATTGGAAAGTTAATCACGAACGAAACATTAGTTGTCACGATAATTGTAATACACTCGGTGCTAATTTCAATCACATTTCATTCAAACTCGGTTTTTTAGAGGAAATATCGCACCATCGGTACTTTAGCGTATCAAATAGTAATATTCATTCTTTTTCCTTTTTCTTTTCTTCTTTTTAAATATTTCATCAGATGGTTTTAATAATTATTTCAAGTAGCTAATGTCGGAGGAGAACATGTTTTACCTTTCACGAAGTAGATAATCATTTACGAATAATTAGGTCGTTGCATATGGATAGGAATATACGTAATTTTTCATAGAAATTATGGATCGAATGTTCAATTAGGAAAGGAAAAGAAAAGGAAACAAATTGTTTGCGCGGACGCTGCATCGTTAAATCGTAATTGCGATTATGTTATTGTTCGATATGCGTAGTATATTTCGGTTGTCTCTCGTAAAACGACGATTACGCCTTGTTCGAGTTGGTACATTAACGAACCGACAGTGCGATACTTTCCTAATGTAAGCATGTATATTGTTCTGTGTACCGTCACTTTTTAGAAATCTGCTCTTTATTACGGCTGAACTATAATAAAGCGCGGCAATACCAGCCCTTAATCGAGCCCGATCAGTTTCTTCCTAGGGGAGGATCGGAGCTGAATGTGGTGGATTTCAAAATCCTTTCGTAGGTATATCGTTGCTCATGCGTACAGTGTAGCTCTACGAAAGTTATTTGACGCAAATATATTTATCAATTAAAAATCAAACGAAATAGTCGAGAGGCATTTTAATTTAATAAATACATTTACGATGCATCGGAATACATACAAATTTTAATTTCTTCGTAAAAAAGAATACAGGATCATCCGATTCGATCGGCTAATCCCTCTCATTTCTCGGTAACATTATGTATTATGTCATAGTTTGAATGAGTTGTACGTCTATTTGTGCCACAAGCACCGATACAAGCCCGCAGACGTCGCAATAAATTCGAGACAATTTCTTTTCTATTATTTAACGCTAGTTACTTTTGCATTTCGCAGTAAATGGAAGTAAAGCATATACGATGTAGAGTAAATGGCGGATTTCTTGGAAAAAAGATGGTATCTTTATAAAATTTGCTACAGTTGCTCACACTTACTTGTTTGAGTTTAGATCATTAAATCGTTAAAAAAAAAAAGGAGAGAGAGAGAGAGAGAGAGAGAGAGCATTAACACTTTATAGCGTGCGCGTATAGTACCGTAAACATGAATTACTTGTCTTAAACATGGTATTTCTAATTATTTTGTTTGGGGTGCACCGAAGGAAAGATAAGGAAAAAAAAAGGAAAAAAAAAGGAGAAAGTGTTGGCCTTTTCTCGGTAAACATTGCAAGTTATTATACGTAACAATCAGACGATGTAAAGTAGACTCGATAAAGTTTGTACTACATAAAATACATATATTTCGTATCATACGTACCAACGTGGAAAGTTGACGAATGTTTACGACGTAATAATTGTTCAACCTGTAAACAGTGTAAATGGAGGATAGGTTTTCTTAAAACTAATTTTTTTCCGGGGTACGTAAGAGTATGATACTTTACGTGGTGTTGGCGTTGATTAGGGGTTTATGGTCTTGGTTGCGATTGTTTGACGACGCACCACCATTTATGGCTTGCATACAAAACCCGCCATTTATTTTGCATCT